CCTCACTGAATGGTCTATGTTATGTTAGGAAGACGTTAAGCCATGCCGTCTTCACGTAGCCCTTGCCCTTGATCCTCGGTTACATGCCAATCTCAGAGTTTAAGGGTGTGTGGAGCAGAAGGAATAAGGGGAATACCGTCCCAATTTTCTTGAGTGCTAGAAATGATGCTACATGTTGATATGATTAATTCAGTAAGAAAGTTCAGCTTCTTCCAATGTTTAATGCCTCCTCAGCCGTCCAAGTAGAGTACTACTAAAAAAAACTTCTGAAAAGCTGTAGTTCCCCAGCCAATTCGAATCCTTTTCCAAAATCCCACCAAAATGAAGCATTGAGTAAAACATCAATCTGTTCGTCAGTGAGGCGCAGCGCATCTGACGTCTCTTCCAAATTTTAGAGCATTTGATAGGGGTGAACGTCGCTTGAACAAGTTTGGAAGATGGGCAGGGTGGCGAAAGACATTCATATCATTGGTTTCGCATGAGTTTGTTCGATTTTTGTCCGCTTAGATATCCGATCTTGGTGACATGGAAGACTAGGTTAGCACTGGTAAATTAGCATCCCTAGGAAGCTATCTAACTCCTACCAATAAGTGCAGAAGAGAGCGCTACTCACTTAACCATTAGCGTCCAGCAGGCAACCGGACAAACCCAGTGTTCTATTTCAAACTTCAGAAAAGAGTCATCCAATTTTCGTTGGCAAGTGTCCTAGCTCACATGAAAACGCAACCACGCTTCCAATTAATATCCGCCCTGAAAACCCTCTTCACTAGTGTACCTATTTTCGAGAAGAGTGGACGTCTATTTCAAAATGTTAAGCCGTCATGACTTATTAGCTGGCCTGTCAACATCATTGCAGGGCAGTTTCAAAAGTTTACGACCCTATGTTGAAGTAGTTTCACTCACAGTAGTACCACTGGCCACTCACTCACTACAATTCAATAAAATTCAATTAGGCTCGTCGTTCGTTAGTTTTCAGAAGATATAAATGAAGAGAAAAGTTGTAATATACGTGTTTTTCCTAGATGTGTAATAATGTGTGGAGTTATGCGTTATCAATTCCACCCAGTTGTACGTTTATAGTAAAAGTCGTCCACCATCACACGAATGTCCCGGGGATCAAATCTCGGATCAACATTCGCCCAGACGAACCTAAATTCCATTCCTACTGGTTACATTGATTGGTACCTGATTCGTTTGGAAAGACCGAGTTAGGCGGCCACCGCAAGCCATTGCATGGGCCACATGCATATTCAGAACACAGCTTCGATTTTAATGGAAATCGAATGCGGTGCGCATCCCACGAACGGAATCGACATATGTCATTGAAACACATTAAAAACAGCATACTTTTGCCATTTCGTTAATTCGCCACATTAGTTTCTTGTAGGGAGTGTAGAGCATTTGGGCAAAGAAGCAGCGTGGAATCTTCGCCCCTGTGAGTGGACATTCGGGCGTAAATGGAAGGAACTTCATCTCATTTGGATCCACACTCCCTTTCATGTCACTAAAACGATGATGCTGATGTTTCTCAGGGCATTAACATCGCCCTTGACAGAAAATGATTGGCCTCGTTTACATCTTACTTCAATCCCTAGTTACATATGCTATGTGCCTTCCAACTTGTCCTGTTCTGAAACTGGTACAAAGGCTATGTTGTCAACTTGTTCTGGTCTGAAACTCGTCCTACACCTAGACCTTTGCATAATTGCTCCAACATGGAGAGTCCTACACCACTCATTGCCAAGAAGAATTTAAAAAAAAAAACGCTCTTCGAAAGAGGGAAACTCCGCTGCCTCCATGACTTTCATCCATCAAGTTGTCATTAACAAAACCTTCAACAATCTGTGGAATCCTATTGAAAGTTGCATATGACGGAGTGGAAAAACCTTTGATTGCACTTTTCCTCATAGACAATCACGCTACATTCCTCGTTTGCTTAATCACTCATGGCTTTCACTTGACTTTTCCAAGAAACAGCAAATTTACCCCGTCATGAAGAGGCTGCCGCCTACAATACAAGCAAAAATACGAGGAGTAATGCAAATAAAAGCGCGCTTTTCACTTGAACCTGAAAGCGTACTCATGTACTTACAAGTATTTTGTAGTAAATTTACTATGCTGGCGCAAAAACAGCTCGACGTACACCCAAAATGTCGGAATTAGGCTGAGGGATATGAAAAGTCATGGGAAGCCAGCGGGAGACGGGCGTTAGGAACGATTTTGGGTAATCAATTCGCCGCACGCGGCTGTCGCGGACCACTCATTCGCCGTTATTGCAGTTCTAGCGTTCTTCATACAGCTCAATCGATATGCGATCATTATTTTATGCACAGTTCTACTATTAGTACTTTTGTTCTTGTATTTCTTACCTACTGCTGCATCCTGCTACATTCCTTCGCGCGCGAC